TCTATCTATCTATCTATCTATCTATCTATCTATCTATCTATCTATCTCTTGGGTATTCTAGACTAACTGTATCAAAGACTAACTGCATGATTGTAATAACCAAATGTTATAACCAAAGGGAAAGTGGAGACAAAAGAGAGCCATAACAGTAATAAATGCTACTGGTAATAAACCCAAAGAATTAGTAAAATGGACCCAGAGTGCCTTTAGGAAAATAGAATTTTTTCCAGCTTCACTGTCTCTTTGGACTTTTATAAATAGGTCAGCTAAAATCTTAGGAACTTTACTATAGTGTCTGTAGTTTTCAGTTCCTCTAAATTATATAATTTATATTTATAAAAATAATAATTAATAATATCAATTGTTTCATTAGACTGGTATTATACTCTGAGTGGGAGATTTGGGGGCAGAATTTAATTCATTCACAGTTTCATACAACAGTTCATCATCAAAAGCACTGAGGGAGGAAGTTGGAAGCAGGAGCTGATGCAGGGGCCATGCAGTGTTGTTTACTGGCTTGCTCACCCTGCTTTCTTTTTTTTCATTCATTCATTGATTCATTTATTTATTTATTTATTCATTCATTCATTCATTCATTCACTTACACCATTATTGCAGCCCCTCCTCCCTTCCCAGTACCCCTTCACATGCTGTTTCATTCTCCCATCTCTCCTCAGAGAAAGAAGAGGTTCCCCAATGGGTACCAACCCACCCTGGCACATTGAGTCCCTGCAGGATTAGGCACATCCTCTCCACTGAGGCCAGACAAGGCAGCCTAGATAGGGGAACAGGATACACAGGCAGGCATTAGAGTCAGAGAGGGCCCCCGCCCCAGTTATTGGGGATCCACAGGAAGACCAACCTGCACATCTGCTATATATGTGCAGGGGCCCTAGGACCAGTCCATGCATGCTCTTTGATTGGTGGTTTAGTCTCTTGTGAGCCCCATGGGCCCTAGTTAGTTGACTCTGTAGGTCTTCTAATGGAGTCCTTAGCTCCTCTGGCTCCCTCAATCATTCCCCCAAATCTTCCATAGGACTCTCCAAGCTTTGTCTAATGTTAGGTTGTGGATCTCTGCATGTTCCCATCAGCTGCTGGGTGAAGCCTTTCAGAGGAGTTATGATAGGCTTTTTCTACAAACATAGCAGCAGAGTAACATTAATAGTGTCAGGGATTGGTTCTCTTCAGTGGGGTGGGTCTCAAGTAGGGCCATTCCCTCAGTCTTTGCTCCATCTTTGTATCTGCATGTCTTGTATGCAGGAAAAATTTTGGGTCGAAGGTTTTGTGGGTGAGTTAGTGTCCTTATAGAATTGGGGGATTTTTATTATTTATTACCTATAATCTAATAAAAGATCTGAGGTATTAGGTTTAAAAATGGATTCTTCAGAAATTATTTAATCTGTACACCTAAAGAAACTAATTAAGAGGGAGGACTCTTGCTAAAATGCTCAGTTCCTATCCAGAAAGGCAAAGAGGATGGACATCAGAACAAGGAGAAAAGAGGGAACAAGTCAGGAGCCTGACACAGAGGACCTCTGAAAAGCTCTGCCCTGCAGACTATCAATGTAGATGCTGAGACTTATGGGCAACCTTTCGGCAGAGTACAAGGAATCTTAGGAAAAAGTGGGAAACAGTAAGATCTGGAGAGGACAGGAACTCTACAAGGAGAGTAACTGAACCAAAAAATCTGAGCACAGGGGTCTTTCCTGGGACTGCTATTCCAACCAAGGACTATGCATGGAGATAACCTAAGACCCCTGCACAGATGTAGCCCATGGCAGTTCAGTATCCAAGTGGGTTCCATTGTAATAGGAACAGGGACTATCTCTGACATGAACTGATTGGCCTGCTCTTTAATTACCTCCCCCTGAGGGGAAAGCAGCCTTACCAGGCCACAGAAGAAGGCAATGCAGCCACTCCTGATGAGACCTAATTGACTAGGATCAGAAGGAAGGAAAAGAAGTCCTCCCCTATCAGTGGACTTGGGGAGGGGCTGGCATGCAGAGGGTGGAGGAAGGGAGAGATTGGGACAGGAGGAGGGAGGAAACCATGGGGGGATACAAAGTGAATAAAGTGTAATTAATAAAGAAAAATAAATAAATAAATAAATAAATAGAATTATAAATTTTAAATATTTTACTGTGTATTGTAAGTATGTAGAAACCTTAAAATATTTTTCCAAAATGTGTTTAGAAATTACATGTTCATAAAATTAAGTATTTCCATTTCTGTTCCTTGCTGTAGGTTCTAGTATAATGCCAGCTGCTGGAACAATGTATTTAACCACTTCAACTGGATATCCATATACTTACCATAATGGCGTTGCTTACTTTCATACTCCAGAAGTAACTTCTGTCCCACCATCTTGGCCTGTAAGTGATTTCCATTTTAGAAGAGTTTCTACCAAGTATTTTTAAGATGTTTTTGTTCGTCTATATTTGATGAATTTCCTTTTCATTTGTTTATAGTGTGTCACCAATGAATGTGGAGGTCAGAGTACAATTTTCAGGACTTGGTTCTCTCCTTCCACCATGCTGGGCCTGGGAGCCTTTATCTAATGATCCTTGTTCTGAAATATTTAAAACACAAAACAAATGAAAATACCTGCATCCCAAATTTAACAAATGTTAATATTTTGCCATATTAATTTAAGTTATTTTGAAAGAGGAAGTAAAATATGACAAAATCATGTAAAGCTTTCTTATGTCCATCCATACCTTTTACCCTTTCTTCTTCAGAATTTCTTTTTCATTGTATATGTTCTTATTACAGATATACTTGCCAGTAAGCAACATAGGTAACTTTGTTTTTAAACACTGGGTAGTTTTTAAACAATGTATAATAATCTAATTTTTTATTTGAATATTGGCCCTTGTGGTCCATGTGAACTATGTTAACCCTTATATATTTATCCGCTTATTTTAATATTCTATTTTTTTGGAATATGATCATTTTTACATACCTTTAATCATAGACATTTAAAAAAAAATTTACAATCATGGCTATATGGAACAACCAGACTTTGTATATATGTAAATTTTTCTGGGACAGTGGTTTGCAAAGTTTCTTGCTTATATCCCTCTGATTGCTTTTGAAAATTATGAATATGTTCACTCATACTTAAAATTCATTCTAAGCCTAAATATTATAGGTATGTCATATATTTTAGATTTGCTAAAAATATATCTTTAGCAATACTTTGTACCTGTATGTTTAGCTTTCTTTTATTAATTGAAAATATGTGATAAACAGTTTTAGTTAGCTAAGTTAACAAAACTAGTTGACCAATCAACTCAATGAACACTACTAGAATATTTTGACATTAACATTAAACTCATATGAATTAATATGTACCCCTGCGATCCATATACTGATTTAAGTTTGTTCCCTGGATAAAATACGGTACTATTTTTACCTTTAATATTTGTTCTACACATTCTTTTTGCTTTGTGGGTTTTTTTTTTTTCTATTTTTCATGACATTGCCTTCTTGAATTATGTATTTAATGCCTGGATGGTGTTTTCACTCCAATGCAAAGCTTTATAGCAAACTCTACCATGAGTAAGAGGCATGCCTTTTTTAAAAAAAGAATGATGATAGAAGGGGAACTTTGTTTAAAATAATATATAGACTACAGATACATTCAGTCAAACAATGAAAATTTGTAGTCTTAGTCATTGGTTATGCCCATATATCACTAGAAAATATTTGTTTCCTCTTAATACTATATTAGAATATATGCATAGAATCAAAGCCTCACATTAATAAAATAAGTGTATCTTGACTAGCAGCTTTCAAAGAAAAAAAATACTCTTTATGCTTTACCCAAGTTCTAATTTTTCCATTGTGTGTCAGCTCTTAAAATGGCCAGTCTTGGCTATGTAGAGAGACCCTAATTCAGAAAGCGAGAAAGAGAAAGAAAAAAAAAGAAAGAGAGAGAGAGAGAGAAAGAAAGAAAGAAAGAAAGAAAGAAAGAAAGAAAGAAAGAAAGAAAGAAAGAAAGAAAGAAAGAAAGAAAGAAGAAAGGTAGATAGATCAGTCCTTGGGGTTAAAGAGATGACTCAGTGAGGTTGGAGTGTGTAGCACTCTAGCAGAGGACCCAAGTGTGTTTCCCAGCATACCCATGTGGCAGCTCACAACCACCTACAACTCCAGCTCTAGGAATCCAACACCTCTGGCCATCTTACAGGCACCTGCCGCTCACATGCTCATACTCACAAATCAATATGCATAATTTAACAATAATAAAACAATCATTTGAAAATAATGCTTTTACAACTTTGTCAATGCTATCATGTAGTAATCTTGGTTTTCTATTTAGTTTATCTACTTACTGTTAAAACAACATAATTGAACCTATTTTTAAACTTTTTAAGAATTTACTTTTTTCTTATGTTTTGATATTATAGTTCAGTTATTTCTTTTCCTTTTTCCCTTTCTTCCCTCAAAACCTTATCATATACCTCTCCTTGCCATCTTTAGAATTCATGGCCACCTCTTTCATTAATTGTTGATGTGTGTGTATGTGTGTGTGTGTGTGTGTTCCTAAATAAATAAAACTTGCTCAGCCTTTATAATGTTCCTTGTATGAATTTGTTTTTAAGGCTGACCTTTTGGCATTAGGTAACCAATTGGTATGTTTTTTCCCGAGGAAAATTTATTTTTCCCACTGTCAGCATTCTTCGGTTGCCTGTAGTTCTTTGTGTAAAGTTTAGGTCTCCCAACCTTGCCTTTTGGTGTCATCCTTGTTCAAGTTATGAGTAGGCAACCATGTTGTTTAGACTTCATGAGTTCTGCCTCTGAAATTTGCAAGAAGCACAGTTTCACAACAAACTTCCTATTTCTCTGGCTCTAGTATCTTTCCACTACATCTTCCACAATGATCCCTGAACCTTAGGTACAGGAGTAGTCTTGTAAGTACGGTGGGGCTGGCCTCTACAATCAAATTTTGATTGGTTAGGATTTTCTGTAATGGTCTTTGTCCATTGATGAGGGTTGACAACTATACACAGCTATGGGTATTAGGACAAATATTTAGAATTTAGTTAGGAATTGTGCTGGTTTAGTAAAATGGCAGTTTCAGGTTCTCTCTTGACTTCACTAGCCCTGAATAGATGACTAGATTTCTGGTATCAGGCACCATTTCCCTCTTGCTGAGTAGGTCTGTCTTATGTCCAATTAAAGAATTATGCCTGCCACTGTTGCACCTTTGGACTTATGCCATGTTCGTCATTGCTGTGGTTCGGAAGCATCATAGCTTTGTAGGACTTGGTTGTTTTCTTCCATTGGACACATGCATGGTAACTTCTGGTAGAGTGATAGCTCATCCTTAGAAAGGAAGGAGGCTCTCAGAACAGTTCCAGTTCAAGGGCCTCTGGACTCTGTCTAAAGTGTGTAGTGTCTTCAGCAATGGGGACTTAACTTCTACCTCTAGGGGACAGTCAAGGACATTATCCATAGTCCATAATGTTTCAGAGTTTCTTAGACAACCTTGACTAGCAGCTCAAAATCGGACTTCTCATGTCTGGTGTTGGGGTTTCTGTTAGATGGTCTTTTGCTCCTGGAGGGTGCATTGTCAGCCCAGATGGGAACATATCATTAATACATACATGTGTGTATACCGACTTACATGTGTTACAGGTACCTTTAGGTTGATACTAGTAAAATTCTAGTTACTAGTTACTAGTAAAATTCCTTAGAACTTTTTCAGACATCCTTAGTGTTATTTTACCCTTCTACTGTATTTATTTCCTCCCCTCCCTAATTAGAGTCCTTCCCACCCATTTTTACTATTTTCCCCTTTCAGATAACTTGTACCCTGCTATTCCCCTCTCTGTTGTACCCCCATTCCCCCAGCAATTGTCCCTTTTCACTTTCCTGGTTTCTGCAGTTACTTCAGGTTATCTATTCACAATTTGGAGCTAGGAGCCTCAGATGAGGGAGAATGTGCTGTTTGTCTTTCTGGGCCTGGGTTATCTCACTCAGAATGATCTTTCATAGTTCCATCCATTTACCTGCAAAGTTTGTTTTTTTTTTTTTTGTTTTGTTTTGTTTTTTGTTTTTCTTTACAGCTAAATACTATTCCATATCATTATCAGTTTGTCAGTGGAAGGATAGTTAAATTGTTTCCATTTCCTTGATATTGTGAGTAGAGCAGCAATGAACATGGCTAAGTATCTATGAAGTAGGATCTTAAGTCCTTTGGACATATGACAATGAGTGGTATAGCTGCATCATATAACAGATTTGTTTTTTTAGCTTTTTGAGAATTCTCCACACTGATTTCCATAGTGGCTGTACCACTTTGCAATCAAACTAACAGTAAAAGAGGATTCCCTTTTCCCCATATCCCCTCCAGCATTTGTTATAGGTCATTTTGTAGCTCTTTGCCATTCTGACTGAAGTTAAGACAAAATCTCAGAATTGTTTTGATTTGCATTTCTGTAATTACTAGGGATGATGAACATTTTTTTGAGATATTTCTTGACCATTTTTTTTTCTTCTTTTGAGAGAACTCTATATTCAGGTCCATTTTTTCAGTGGGTCACTTTTTAATTATATATTTATTTATTTAATGTGTATTGATGTTTTTGCCTGCATGTATGTCTGTGAGAGGGTCTCAGATACCCTGGAAATGGAGTTATAAACAGTTGTGAGCTGCCATGTGGTTGCTGGGAATTGAACCTGGATCCTCTGGGAGAGCAGTCAGTGCTCATAAGCTCTGACTCATCTCTCCAGCTCAAGTGGATTATTTTTTTTTAATTCTCTGCTTTTTCAGTTACTCATATATTCTGAATATTAATTCTCTGTGGGCTTACTCTTCATCCTGTTGATTGTTGCTTTAGCCAAGCCAAAGCTTTTTTAAAGTTTTATGAAGTCCAACTTGTGAATTGTTGGTCTTAATTCTTAGACAAATGGAGTCCTAATCAGAAAGTCCTCTTCTACAGCTATATTATGTTGAGTACTACCTATGTTTTATTCTAGCAATTTCAGTGTTCAAGTTTCACGTTTAGGTTTTGGACCTAATTTAGTTAGTTTTGTGATAGACTCACATAATTTCATTCTTTGTATTTGTTGAAGATGCTTTCTTTTCTCCAGAGTAAGTTTTTTACATCTTTGCCAAATATTAAATACCTGAAGTTATATATACTCATATAACATTATTATATATAATAATTATATATTATATATAATTTTGTCCTATTGGTCTGTGTGTCTCTCTTTGTACCATTACATGTTGTTTTTATTACTGTGACTTTGTAATACAGATTAAGATCTGAAATAGATTGTACTTTTTGCTGAGGAAATTTTTGGCTACCTAGGGTTTCTTATGGTTCCATATGAATTTTAGGATAGTTATTATGGTTATTTT